CCGATCCTAATGAAATTTGGTAGGTTGGATCAACTGACCAAGAATTAAATCTGTACTAAGTTCCAGCTTTCTATCTTCAAAAACACGAAAGTTGGGTCATTTCCGATCGTTCAGTTATATGGCAGCTATAGGATATAGTCGGCCGATCCTTATGAAATTTGGCATGTCATATTATTTTGCCAAAAATAGCTCTCATATCAAATTTGATTTCTCTAACTCTAAAAACACCGAAGTTATACCATTTCCGATCAATCAGTTATATGGCAGCTATAGGATATAGTCGGCCGATCCGGGCCGTTCCGACTTATATACTGCGTGCAAAGGAAAGAAGGGTGTGTGCAAAGTTTCAAGTCGATAGCTTTAAAACTGAGAGACTAGTTCGCGTAGAAACAGACAGACAGACAGACGGACAGACGGACAGACGGACAGACGGACAGACGGACATGCTCATATCAACTCAGGAGGTGATCCTGATCAAGAATATATATACTTTATAGGGTCGGAGATGTCTCCTTCACTGCGTTGCACACTTTTGGACAAAATTATAATACCCTCTGCAAGGGTATAATGATGCAATGTCAGCTGCAATCTACATTGATCCACGCGTTAATTGCATCCTAAATGACCAGCAAAAATTCGTAGCTAAGCTAAATCTGAAAAAAATAGCACACCGTTTATTGGAGCTAAAGCAAGTATGTATTTATGTTTGAAGTTTAAGTCCTGTTGTTTTGTTGATAATTGTTATTAAATGTTTAAAAAAAGTATATTTTCCATGTCAAAAACTCACACTTGTACTAAACTAACATTGCAAAAAATGTGTTATAATTAATTTTTTATTTAAGGTGCATTCCTCAACACAAAGTGTGCCATCATGCGAGGTTGATATCCAGGACCAAAAGAAGGAGTACACATCCGACGATGATAAATGTGCTAACAAGGAAGAGTCTCTGTTTTCCGCCTATTTGGATTGCGTACAAACAATCTCGGAAGTTAAAGAAGACCCTGAATCTAAAAAACTGGTCAAAATCTATGGTGCGAACATTTGTAGAATCTGAATGCGAACATTTTGTAGTTTTTTAATGAAATAAAACTGCAGTCGTCCCATCTGAGTGCGCTCGCACACGTAGGCTGTACCAGCGACTCAGGTGACTGTTGAGAGGGCTTTTTCAGTGCTTCACTTCATTTTAAGCGAGCGACGAAGCTGTTTAACTGCAGAAACTTTAAATTCTCTACTTGTTGTTAAGCTAAATACTGAATAAATAATAAATATAATGTTAAGATTTATTAAATATGTTAAAGCTCTTACTAAACGTTATTAAAACGCTACTAAAGGCGAAAGACCATTTACGACGAGTTTTTCGTTTTTTGCTCATCTGCTGACCCTCAATGAGTGAGCTTTCAGTTCAATCGCTCATTCTAGGTCAGTGGGGGGCAAAACACATGTTTAAAAGTTGAGTATGTGCGTAGCAGAGAAAAACAATGAGTATGGCAGCTATAGGATATAGTCGGCCGATCCTTATGAAATTCGACATGTTGAATTATTTTGCCAAAAATAGCGTTTGGGAGCATGCCCATATATGTGTAACCCGTAGTCGATTTTTGACATAATGATGGATTTGACCACGTATAAAATTGTTGTTGTGTTGCAGCAGAATTTTTTGCTAGAAGGACATTTGATTACGTCGAGTCTTTTGGCTAGTTCTAGAGTGAGGTTTTCTACATGTTTGTTCCATTTGTAGTTTTTGATTACTGTGATTCCAAGTATTTTGAGGGAAGTGACATTCTGTAGGGGTGAGCTGTTGGATTGCAGTGTGAGGCAGCAGTTTTTCTTTCTGCAGATATGCAAGTGTTTGCACTTGCTGGTTGAAAGCGATGCGCCGTTGGTTTATGTCATTTAGAAGTGGGTCCAAGTTGATGCTGTTTTGTATTTTCCCTGGCTTGTAGGTTAACGTGAAGTCGTCAGCGTATCCAGTGAATTCTATTTTTTTATGCTTAGCTATTATTTTATTTAGTTGGTTAAACGCGATTGCAAAGAGTATCACAGATAAGGGAGATCCTTTCGGTATTCCGTTGTGTAGTGGCTTCGGATTGGAGTACGATTTGTTTGCTAGGACTGTGATTTTTCTGTTGGTGAGGAAGTTTATTATGGAGTTTAGGATAGTTGGTCCTATTTTCCAGGTGTGAAGTTCGTTGACGATGCTGTGGATGCCTATTCTGTCAAAAGCTTTGGCGAAATCTAATGAGATGATCGAAATGTGGTTTTTTCTGGAAAGGGCCGTAGTTATCTGATAATCTAGCAGAGCTAGAGGGTCAGAAACCGATTTTCCCTTTCTAAATCCCTGTTGACGGTTATCAAGAAGCTTGCCATTTGTAGCTAGCCACCATAACCGTTTTGCTATTATCTTATCGAGAACCTTTGAAATGCAGGGGTTAAGCGAGATGGGTCGGTATGAGTTAATGTTGGTTTTTTCATTATTTGGCTTGAGTATGGGAAATACACTGCTTACTTTAAATTGCTGGGGGATATTTGATCGGAGGATGTTGTTGAAGAGATTAAGAAGTCTGATTTTTAGATTAGTGGGTAAGTACTTCAGCATTGGATAGCTTATGCGGTCTCTGCCAGGAGTTTTTCCCTTGAGTTGGTTGAGTGCAGTCTGTAGTTCTATAAGCGTTATTTCTTTCTTGATCTCAAGTGCTGTGGGTGACGGAATGTGTGTGTTAGGGGTTGGGTTAGTTTTTCGTTGAATTAAATTTTCGTGGAAGTTGCTGTCGAGTGATGCATTTGACCAGTGTGTGCAGAGGGTATTGGCTATTTCGTTATTGTCTAGAATGCTTTTTGTGTCAATGGGATTAGTAATATTTCTCCGATTGGAGAATTTGGGTTGATTTGCGCAGTGAAGTTTTCCATGTATTTTTTTTTTTCTAATTTTATTTCCCGTTTGAGTTTAGCGTTGGCTTTTTTGTAAATTAGTATGTTTGTGGTGTCAATGTATCTGTTTAGATTTGTCCAAGCAATTTGTTTTTCATTTTGTAGTTTTTGGAGAGTTTGGTCCCACCATGGTACATTCCTCTTTTTGTTAGAAGGGTGTGATTGGGGAATGGATTCGTTGGCAGATTGGATTATTATCATGGTTATATTGGCGATTTCTTTGTTTATATTAGCGCTGGGGGGTTTTTCTGCGATTTCCTGGAAGAGTGGCCAGTTTGCCTTTTTTATACCCTTGCAGAGGGTATTATAATTTTGTCCAAAAGTGTGCAACGCAGTGAAGGAGACATCTCCGACCCTATAAAGTATATATATTCTTGATCAGGATCACCTCCTGAGTTGATATGAGCATGTCCGTCTGTCCGTCTGTCTGTCTGTCTGTCTGTCCGTTTCTACGCGAACTAGTCTCTCAGTTTTAAAGCTATCGTCTTGAAACTTTGCACACACCCTTCTTTCCTTTGCACGCAGTATATAAGTCGGAACGGCCGACTATATCCTATAGCTGCCATATAACTGATTGATCGGAAATGGTATAACTTTGGTGTTTTTAAAGTTAGAGAGTTCAAATTTGACACGAGAGCTGTTTTTGGCAAACCAAAACACAGCTGCCAACGACATGCCAAATTTCATAAGGATCTTATAGCTGCCATATAACTGAAAGATCGGAAATGACCCAACTTTCGTGTTTTTGAAGATAGAAAGCTGGAATTTAGTACAGATTCTATTTTTCACAATTTTTTTCATTTCATTAGGATCGGCCGACTATATCATATAGCTGCCATATAACTGAACGATCGGAAATGGTACTTGGTAGAAATATAAAGTTTTTTGTTTTTGAAGATAGAAGTTTGGGCTTTTTTTTGGATTTTTTATTTTAGTTAATTGGTTTTATTATTATGTATTCATAAGGATCGGCCAAATATATCCGATGTTTGCGATATATATCCGGTTTTAACTGCAAGGGTATATAAACTTCGGCTCCGCCCGAAGTTAGCTTTCCTTTCTTGTTAGATTAAATCTTGGTCTTTCAGTGGGGTTGTTTACTCTATGTTCGTCAAACATTTTGATATGGATTGGATAATGGTCGCTGCCTGATAGGGAGGTATCCGTATACCATTTGGAGCTCAGATTAAAGGGTGGAGATGCAATTGAGAGATCTCTGTGCGTGAATGTGTGGTGGGTGGTGAAGTGGGTGGCTGAGCCGTTGTTTAGAGTTGTGAGCGAAGATTGATTGATGTATTCAAATACCTTTACCTCTTTTATTGTTGGTTGGTGAGCCCCGGCTTCTGTGCCAGCTATTATAGTCGCCAGTAATAAGTAGGGGAGGTCTTAAATTGTCGTATATGTTTCTTAGGTTTCGTATTGTGTAGTTTTTGTTGGGTGGTATGTATGAAGATACTATCGTGAATTTAGTTTTGGACTGAATTGATACTGCTATTGAGTCAAAGCAAAAGGAGTTAATTGGTTCATTTTGTTGTTGCAGTGAGTTGTGGATGAGGAGAGCGACACACCCAAAACTGTTGGTGGAAGTGTTTTCGTGATATAGCGTATAGTTAATCGGTATAGGTATATTTTGAGTGCAGTGTAGGTGTGTTTCTTGAATAGAAATTATCTTGGGACAGTGTTTTTTTATGAGGATTTGTAATTGGCTATAATTGTTTATGTATCCGTCCATGTTCCAATTAATTATTTTGAGCATGGTGATTTTTGAATATGGAGTGGGTGAAATTTATAGTTCTAAGTCTTCGTCTGTGCTGGTGTTATCTGTATTTTTTTTCTTAGTTTTCTTGTCGGGTTTAGTCTTGGTGTTGAGTTTCTCTTTAGATTTTAATGGGGTACGTATTTTATTTGGTTTAACTGAGAATATTTGAAGTTTAAAGTCATCGGAGAGATCGCGTTGTGTATTTTGAATAGGTCGTGTCCATGGGTTCATCGAGTAGGTCGTCGTAGGTGGTGCATTGTCTCCTAGAGTGGGCTGGTGTTGGTGGGGGTTAATGATTATAAAGATGTTGATTTAGAAGTTGAGGTTGATGGTTGAGGTGTAGAATATGTTGATGATTGTGGTGTAGGAGTAGATGTGTGTGTTGGAGTTAGTCGTTTTAATATTGCTGCGGATGTTGATGGTGTACTCGGTAGTGGAAGCGCTGCTTTCTGGGCGTAGGAGTTTAGAGGGTGAATGTGTCGTGTGTTATATATTATTCGTGCTGTTTTGTGGTCCACTTTTTCAAGTGTTTTGATGGCAGTTATTTCTTTTTGTTTTATAAAAGAGGGGCAGGATTTATCCATTGCATTGTGGTGTTTTGTTTCGTCGTCTTCGTATTTGCAGGTTTTGGTGTTGGTTCTTTTTCGGCACAATTGGAGCATACTTTGGGGCTTTTGCATGTGGTTTTAGTATGTCCGAATCTAAGGCAGTTGTAGCATCGCATCGGGGGGGGATGTATGGTCGTACTTGTACTTGTACGGTCGTATATGTAGCCTATCCATTATCTTTTTGGTAAGATTACTGTGACGAACGTGAGTATTATATGATCTATTTGTGCCTTGTTGTTGTCGTCTGAGTTTATTTTTTTTTGGATTTTGCGGACAGCAACTACTTTTTGGAACTTAAGTTCTTCTAAAATTTCATTTTCTTCTAAGTACCGCAAATCGTTGGAGTAGATGACTCCTTTGGAAGTGTTTAAAGATCTGTGTTCTTCCGCACGAACTGGAAAGTTGTGGAAAGTTTCCATTTTAATTAATTTCTGGGCTTGAAAAGAATTTTTGGTTTTCACCAGTAGGGCTCCAGATTTTGTTTTATGGCAAACTTCGACTGCACCACTGCATTCCTAGTCAACTACTTTTTTGGATAGGAATGGGTTTATTTTTTCGAAGGTGTTATTGTCTTTTCTGGTGATAATTATGTATTTAAGTTCACTTGGGGACGTTGGCGGGAGTCGGTCGGGTGGTAGTGACATTGTGGTGTCTCGAGGGCTCGGACCCTTACGGGAATTGTTTTGTAGCTAATGTTCTAAGTGTTTGTTGTGAGTTTTGTTCGGGTGCTAGTTTGACGCGATATATTGTTCGCAATCCGAGTTAGAAAAGTAGATAAGCAGTAGCCTTGGGTTTTAAATAATCGCACGTCTTTACTGGTCCGAGTTCAGGGTGAATCTGACTTTTTATACCCTTGCAGAGGGTATTATAATTTTGTCCAAAAGTGTGCAACGCAGTGAAGGAGACATCTCCGACCCTATAAAGTATATATATTCTTGATCAGGATCACCTCCTGAGTTGATATGAGCATGTCCGTCTGTCCGTCTGTCTGTCTGTTTCTACGCGAACTAGTCTTTCAGTTTTTAAGCTATCGACTTGAAACTTTGCACACACCCTTCTTTCCTTTGCACGCAGTATATAAGTCGGAACGGCCCGGATCGGCCGACTATATTCTATAGCTGCCATATAACTGATTGATCGGAAATGGTATAACTTTGGTGTTTTTAGAGTTAGAGAGTTCAAATTTGACAAGAGAGCTATTTTTGGCAAACTATTACGACATGCCAAATTTCATAAGGATCGGCCGACTATATCTTATAGCTGCCATATAACTGAACGATCGGAAATGACCCAACTTTCGTGTTTTTGAAGATAGAAAGCTGAAACTTAAAACAGATTATATTTTTGGCCAGATGATCTAACCTACCAAATTTCATTAGGATCGGCCGACTATATCCTATAGCTGCCATATAACTGAACGATCGGAAATGACCCAACTTTTGTGTTTTTGAAGATAGAAGCTTGGGACATTTTTAGGTTTGGTTTTTGTATTATAATAAATTGGGTAATATTATCATATTCTCATAAGGATCGGCCAACTATATCCGATGTTTGCGATATATATCCGGTTTTAACTGCAAGGGTATGTAAACTTCGGCTCCGCCCGAAGTTAGCTTTCCTTTCTTGTTTTGGCATAAAATCAAATTATTTTACAAATTATTTTTAAAAATAAAATATATTTTTTGAATTTACATACCCGTATTTGCCAAGAACCGTTATCTAAGATTTTTTACTAACAATACTATAGTGTTGATAAACGAACAAAGTCAGCTGTTCGATTGACTTTGTAGTGTGCTTAAATTAGTGTAAAATCTTTGCAAACTTTCACTGTTTATTTTGTGGTGCAACAAATTGATTTATTAATAAAGGTATAAAGGTATTTATAAATGTATCTTAGATTACATGTTTTGATTATTATGACTTGTTGTCCAACTGTGAACTGTTTTATATGTGTATCTTTATACCCTTGCAGAGGGTATTATAATTTTGGTCAAAAGTGTGCAACGCAGTGAAGGAGACATCTCCGATCCTATAAAGTATATATATTCTTGATCAGGATCACCTCCTGAGTTGATATGAGCATGTCCGTCTGTCCGTCTGTCCGTCTGTCTGTCCGTCTGTCTGTCTGTTTCTACGCGAACTAGTCTCTCAGTTTTGAAGCTATCGTCTTGAAACTTTGCACACACCCTTCTTTCCTTTGCACGCAGTATATAAGTCGGAACGGTCCGGATCGGCCGACTATATCCTATAGCTGCCATATAACTGATTGATCGGAAATGGTATAACTTTGGTGTTTTTAGAGTTAGAGAGTTCAAATTTGACATGAGAGCTATTTTTGGCAAACCATTACGACATGCCAAATTTCATAAGGATCGGCTGACTATATCCTATAGCTGCCATATAACTGAACGATCGGAAATGACCCAACTTTCGTGTTTTTGAAGATAGAAAACTGGAACTTGGTACACATTCTATTTTTGGTCAGTTAATCCGATCTACCAAATTTCATAACGATCGGTTGACTATATCTTATAGCTGACATATAACTGTACGATCGGAAATGGTTTTTGGTAGAAATATGAACTTTCATATTTTTGAAGATAGAAGCTTGGGACTTTTTTTTAGATTTTTATTGTAATTAATTCTATATTCTAATTCTAATTCTAATTCTATATTAACTATATCCGATGTTTGCGATATATATCCGGTTTAGCTGCAAGGGTATATCAACTTCGGCTCCGCCCGAAGTTAGCTTTGCTTTCTTGTTTTTTTTTTTATTTACTTTTATTTTTTTAATAATTTTTTTTTTACTTTTAATTTTTACGTTATTATTATTATTTTAATTGCATTCTATTACAATTTTTGTAATAATAAATGACGGGCGCTTCGGATAACAAAATGCCGGAAGGACTCCCTTGAAATTTTATAAGCATTTTATTAGCGGGACATAATGAAGAGTAAAACAATTTTACAATTGTAAAATTAAAGAAAAATATTACAATTAAAGAAATATAAAAAAACAAGAAAGGAAAGCTAACTTCGGGCGGAGCCGAAGTTTATATACCCTTGCAGTTAAAACCGGATATATATCGCAAACATCGGATATAGTTGGCCGATCCTTATGGGAATAGGAATATATAATCCAATTTATTACAATACAAAATCTAAAAAAAGTCCCAAACTTCTATCTTCAAAAATACGAAAGTTGATATTTCTACCAAATACCATTTCCGATCGTTCAGTTATATGGCAGCTATGGGATATAGTCGGCCGATCCTAATGAAATTTGGTAGGTTGGATCAACTGACCAAGAATTAAATCTGTACTAAGTTCCAGCTTTCTATCTTCAAAAACACGAAAGTTGGGTCATTTCCGATCGTTCAGTTATATGGCAGCTATAGGATATAGTCGGCCGATCCTTATGAAATTTGGCATGTCATATTATTTTGCCAAAAATAGCTCTCATATCAAATTTGAACTCTCTAACTCTAAAAACACCGAAGTTATACCATTTCCGATCAATCAGTTATATGGCAGCTATAGGATATAGTCGGCCGATCCGGGCCGTTCCGACTTATATACTGCGTGCAAAGGAAAGAAGGGTGTGTGCAAAGTTTCAAGTCGATAGCTTTAAAACTGAGAGACTAGTTCGCGTAGAAACAGACAGACAGACAGACGGACAGACGGACAGACGGACAGACGGACATGCTCATATCAACTCAGGAGGTGATCCTGATCAAGAATATATATACTTTATAGGGTCGGAGATGTCTCCTTCACTGCGTTGCACACTTTTGGACAAAATTATAATACCCTCTGCAAGGGTATAAAAATAATAATTATAACAGAAAGAAAAATTTCAAGGCCTTACGAGGATTTGAACGCAGAAAAATTATACATAGAGTAACTACTCTATGCATTACGCTACCATCCTGTCTCGATCTGCGGCGATTAAAAATACTATTTGTTCTACCTACTACCACATCGGCGCATTGAAAACAGAAACGAGAAATTGAAATTGGAATTTGGAAGCCAAAACATTTTTACTCCGTCGTGCGAGCAGTCACACATACATACATAATAAGGTTCACATTTTTGTTGACGAATACATGTAAAGAGTTCTAAAAATAGAATCGTATACATGTGCGTTCCGCCTTAACCAACAAGCTCAACAAGCCCAAACCATGCGCTGAAGACTGTAAAGCACGGTGGCCTCAAAATCATAGTGCGGGGATGTTTTTCGTACAACGTTGAAGTTCCCATACATATGTATGGGAATATGTATCCGATAATATTATCCACGTGATCATGGACCAACATTAAGAAAAGATGCCATTAATTTGTAGATTTTAACAATATAATGATCATAAACACACCAGCAAGGTCGCCAAGAACTGTATTACCAAGAAAAATGTCATAAACATTTGCCATGGCCAGCACAGTCCACGGACTTAAGGATGTAGTCTCATGTGTGAGGTTGAAAAAATCGATTTTTTTTGTCACATATTTCGAAAGTACTGTTTATTAAGAATGTACTGTTAATGTTTCAAATAAAAATATCAAATAATGACAGAGATACAGCCCATAATCGAGAGCGCGCCTACACCGAAAAGTATGAGTTTCTCGGTAGCGTCTAAACTTTAAACGCGTTTTTCTCGGAACGACATTTTTGTGTGCGGCGCAGGTGATTCACAAAATTCTATAGTACCGATCTAGCTGAAATTTGGATATGTTGTTCTAAAAAGTAACACCTCTGTCCCGTATAAGCCGGAACGGCTGGGATCGGCCGACTATAGAGTTGAAGAGTTCGCATTTTGTACGAATGCTATTTTTAACAAAAAAATACGACCCACCAAATTTCATAAGGATCGGCCGACTATATCTTATAACTGCCATATAACTAAACGATCGGAAATTGCTTTGCATATACTGGTATTTATCTTTTTATATCTTTTTATGGAACGTGCGAGCTGCAGTTTGTCACCTCAAAGATGAATGTACATACTTCAACAAGAATTTACCTTTGATTTCTGAGATTTATAGTCGTATTCCATGGACGTACCAACATGACAACGCTCCCATCCGTACCGCTCGGTTGTAAAGCCGCTTTACTCCCCCAACATTAACATTATGGAAAACTGGGGAGTGGGGACTATTGTCCATAAGAGTTTACGAAGATGGAAGATTGGTAATTTTTGGTGATTCAATTTGGTGATTCTGAAACTTTAGTTAAAGCAATTAAAAAAGCCCGGACAACGTGGGTGGGCATACCAAATAACAGTGTGATCAAACCTATTTAGTTGATCCAAAAAAAAATAGACATTTTTTGTTATTATTTTGAAAAAGTAATATAAAAACAAAACTAACAGAACAAAAACTTTGCTATTTTATAATAGACAGAAGAAGATTTCTTTATGCACCTAAACTTATTTTGAGAAAATCAGAGCTCTTGTTCCAGAGACACAACCTTTCAAACCTTAACCAAATGTCAAACCTATTCAGTTGAGCTGCACTGTATGATCAGAGCTCGCAAATAACAGTGTACCTTTTTTCGTGTTTCGGTCTGCTCTCTAACACAACCGAAAAAGACGATACTCGTGTGCTCTCGCTCTGAACATAACTTTTCGTTGCTCTTTGTTTTTGTTTTCGGTTAAGTGTTCTCAGTATAGGGGTTCTGGTTATGCTCACTCAACAACTTAAAAATAGCGACTCAGCGACTCATTGAGGGTCAGCAGAAGAGCGAGAAAACGAAAGACTCATCGTAAACGGTCTTTTGTCTTCAGTAGCTTTTTAATAAAATTTGGAAACAGCTTAAACATATTTATTAGATCTTAACATTATATTATTATTTATTCATTTTTTTGCTTAACAACTAGTAGAGAATTTCTGCACTTAAAGGGCTTCGTCGCTCGCTTAAAATGTAGTAAAGCTCTGAAAAGGCCCTCTCAACAGTCACCTGAGTCGCCGGTACAGCCAGTACTACGTGTGCGATCGCACTCAGATGGGGCGACTGCAGTTTTATATCTGTAAAAAACTGCAAAATTTTCGCATTCAGTGGCAAACGTCTATGCATAAGGTGTAAATTTTCTATGTCAACATAGATTTGGACCAGTTTTTTTTATGCAGGGTTTTCTTTAACTTCCGAGATTATCTGTACGCCATCCCAATAGACGAAAAACAGAGACTCTTCCTTGTTAGCACATTTATCGCCGTCGGATGTGTACTCCTTCTTTTAGTACACACTTTCGGGGCCACTTTCGCACCGTGAATTAAAATTTTATGCACTGTTGCTGAAAGCACTAACCATACAGCATATGCTGTCAGTATTGCAAAGCATATGCTGTATGGTTAGTGCTGGAAGATAGTATCATGGATATATTTTTATCAACTGATTAGCAGTATCCATATAGGTTTTGAATTTTTGAGCAATAATAGAATATCCTGATGCTAAGGCTTGCAATATCGTTGCGCATTTTATTGCGAAACTCTGCTTGTACTCGTTATTTTCTTTGCAGTAAATTAAGATTTTGTTCTGGTGATCTCGCTTGCCACATATTTGTTTCCAGCTTGTAACTCAAAGTAAAGTACTCAAAAAAGCGTACAGTCACGCACTAAAGCAGGGGTGCCCAAGCTCAGCATACGGCAGAGCAAACTCCAATACCAGTGCAAAAAATCACCAATACATTTACACCAGGGGTGCTCAAATTCGTCTTATCCCAGCCAACCAGCGGAGTCCGCACGGTGCTCCGTTAGGACTCCCTGTGCGGAGCGCAAAGCCTCCTAGGGACGCTCCTAAAAGTGTCCGTAAGAGCATGTTTTTGGGAGAAAAGTGCCATTTCAAAATATATGAAAACGGTGTGCCCTGCGGACTCCTAGAATGAGTAATTTCGAGTCCCAGAATGCTCCCTTAGATAAACCGCAGGGACTCCGTGCGGACTCCTTTTTGCTTCCAATTATTAAGAAAAGGAGTCCTAAAATCATCCGAAGATAACCTAGGCGGAGTACTTTGGGATTGTGTTTGTGCACCTAAAATGCTCCGTAGAGGAGTCCTTCTTTGTGCACCTAAAATACTCCGTAGAGGAGTCCCTACGGTTTCTCAAAATGCTCCCAGTTTATAGAGGAATGATAAGTAATTCAATTAGTAATGAACATTTAAACATATTTTTAATTAAACTACATTTTGTTAAATTTTTTTGTTAAGTTTATTTAAATTCCGTTCTTTTGCCGTCTGAAACCATTTTGCGCTGGCTCGACCAAATTCTTTGTTTGCTCCTACAAATTTTATGTTGAAGGCTCCCATAAATGCGTTGGTGATTGCCATCACATCAATAGCTTTCTTTTTCGGTGTCCCTTTCCAGGAGTAATGCGATGCGACGTCGTCATTCAAAATTTTGCGCCATATTATTCGAATAAATTTTGACGGATCGCTTGCCTCTTGCCGGATAATTTCATTTTGAAGTCTGTCGCTGAGCTCAGGCGATTTTTTTAATTCTTCCTCGAGCTTCTCAAACGCCTCGACTGTTTTAAACGGACTTTGCAAAATGGGCGTTTCTTTTTTGGCGTTATCAACTTTTTGTCATTTTCAGCTCTGTCAGTTGGCGAGAGTGCATTTTTTTATTATCATCTTCGAGCTTTTCAACTCGATGGGTTAAGTCTGAAAGAAATGAAGTTCATAAGTTATATTTTTTTTAATAAATAAGTTTTTTAAACAAAGTGAAGCAAACCTTTTAATGTGTTTTTAATTTCGATGGTATTTTTTAAAATTTCTGGCAGCAAATCTGTAAAAGGGAACCATTTCACATACTATATTATTTAAATTTTAATTAACTATCTTACCAGTGTGTTCAAGTCTCGTCGAGTTACTATTGGGTTCCAAGCTTCTATGAGAATCATTTAATGGCATATTCTCTTGGTCATCTTAAAAGCAAGAAATGGTAATTATGGATTATAAGTACCATATAATATAATATATATGATACACTTACCATTGAATTTCGATGTTGTGGGTAATTTATTTGACATGATGTTGTCCTCATCAGTGTCGTACATAAACAGTTCGGTGAATTTATTCATGATGATGAATTACTGCAGCAAAAATAAGTAACCTATTGTTGCTAAGGGGTAATATTTTTTTTCAATTTTTGAAACGCTATGTGTACAATTTTCGTCACTTAACACAAGTGACTGTGAACAAAATAAATGTACCAAACTGGACTTTAATGGCTCGTAAAAAAACTCTTCTAGATTTAATACTTGGTTTGACTGAACAACTAAGCAGTTTGTTCCTTGCTCGATTAATTTTATTTTAAAAATGTGTGATCCCACCATATAAAAATTATTAGGAAAATGTATAGAATAGAAAAGTGTATTTGCCTGAATTGAAATTATATTACCACGCGAATCTTTTTTTAAAATAGAACTGAAAAGTTGTGTTCTCTTTGGACAGTAAACGCTCATTTCAACAATGCGATTATAAATTTGGCTGCTTACGTTTGTTCCGTTTTTAACCATTTGTTTCACTTTATATAAGAAGCTCTCAAATTTAAATGCGCTAAAGGAATCTAATGTATCTCTATATAAAAGAACCTCGTCAGAGAGATGTAGCAAGCAGTGGAAATTATATTTTAAAAAAATGGGACTGTAATGAGTGGTCAATAAATCCACAAAGCTGTAAAGAAGTGCTTTGGCACACGCATTTTCGTAATACAATATTCTGGACTAAGAAGTATACGAATGCCAACGCTTAACTGCAGAAAATGTTCATAACGTGCCTTTGTCAATACATTTCTAAGTACCACTGGACCGGTGTACAAAAGAAATTGCCGAAATTCAGTCGCTTTCCATCGCTCTAGTTCAGAAGTATTTCTGGGTTTCCTGTTAAACTCTTTTCCCATGCTATTTTTCAATGATAATAAGTTTTCATTGAGAAGGACTATTTTTTCTGTTGTGAGAGAATAGTCTTGACCTTTTTCTTTTACCCATGCCACCATCAATGTTTTTACTATACCGAGACAAACTACATGCATATAGTCCAACGCGAATGTGTCAACTATATTTATTGGCAACTCTTCAATTTTTAATGCGCCATTAATCTTGTGATAGTTTGTGTTTTTTTTGCTCGAAATTCCTCGTCAGTACGTAACGGCGATATTTCAGGCTTGAAAATAATTCTATTCTTGTAAGCTTCACCCCGCTGGTGACACTTAACGCAACTGAAATAACCGGAATGACCTTTGACACCAAGCATATACGAACGCGCCGGTGCATCACAAATGAATGCTCTTATTTGCACTTCAAAATTTTCCGATTTATAAGTAAACCCATTTTGAAATAGTTCTTTCATTTCCGAAACGAAGTCTGAAACAAAGTCATCAATGTTTGGAGGCTTGCTATCACCCACAAAAGCACCCGCAACAAGCACTGGGGAAGTATTGTTCAGATTAATTAAAATAGGCCACACTTGCTGCTTTAAACTTTTATATAAAGGTAGTCCATCTACATTGACATTAAGCCTTATGGTTTTTTTTGGAAATGTATTTTTTTCAAAGAAATCTGTTAAGCAATCATTGACACCGTAATGAAAATAACTTCAACGCTAGGCACTTGCCTTGGAGTTTTTTTAAGGGATCGATAGTCGGCACTTAACTCACAGCCATAGCGACGTAAAATTTTTAAAAGCCCATTAATGGCAGATCCTGAAATAATATTGACCACTCAGCTAACTCTTCCTTTAGTTTTGACGAGAATCCGTTTGACTCGCAATAGTCTACTCTTTCGTACTCCTCATCTTCTGCGCCCGAGCTATCGCTGAAATTTACCCTTTCAGCACTTTCTATGGTGAAAACGGGGTCTGAGACAATATTATTTGTCAATAAATCCCCGCTTGCTTCAATGATTGTTTCATTTCGAACGTTGCTGTTGTCAGTTAACGAAGCTATTATTCTATTAGATTGTTTTTCTACGAGTCTTCGTTTGGACATTTTTAACAATTTGTGTAAACTCAAAACAATTATAAATTTTAAAAACGCACGCACCACGTGGAATCGAAAATTTGCACTGACTAACTTGCATAAAAGAAGAACAAAACGCACAAAGAGAAAAGAAAACAAAACGCACGGAAGATTGTACGAGAAACAGATGAAAAATAGAAGAGCAGCAAAGAAAAGCTCCGAAAACGCTCCGTGACGGTGCGACTTTAGGAGCCCTTTTTATTCTTTGCTTCGGAGGGCTCCGAAAACACTCCGAAAAGGTGCTACTTTGGGAGTCTCGTTTCGATCCTTCTTCGGTGAGCTCCGCAATCGCTCCGAAGAAGTGCTACATTGGGACTCCTTTTTCGCTCCATTTTCGGAGCGCTCCGGAAACACACCTTTGCGGTATAAATTTGGGAGTCCGTTAACACTCCTAGTTCGGAGCGCTCCGCATATGGTTGGCTGGGATGGCAGTGCGTTTACTAACACAGACACAAGAAAACGTGTACATATGTAGCGGCGCTTTAGTGTTGGGGCGCAGCTGTGCACTGAGAGAAAAAAAAACAGTTTTAAATATTTATTTATTTTTTTTTTATATTTGGCTTAAAAAAGATTCAATATTTATATTAATTTTAGTGGTTGATAATTTTAATTGAGCTTCCAGATTATTATTATTTAGTCCCACGAAATAAATCAAAAGCCAAAGCAGACAGAAGAATAAGTTCCAGTGCATGTGCTCGAGGAAAAAACAAAAACAAAATACACTGCGTTCAGCGAAGCGTGACGACGGATAGAGATGTAATGAAGAAACAAGCAAAATTGTTTTTGTTTCGCATGGTAATCGAAGCCCATATGCACGGTAGAGCTGTAAACAATTCTACTTTTTGAGAATCGATTCTTTTTGATTCAATTCTTGAAAAGATCGATTAAATCGATTTAAAATCGAAAACTACAAAAAAATTTTTTTCCAGGAAAAAAGCATTTTTTTGCTTAAGACGTGGTAAGGAAAATAGAAAATTTACCTTTGCAAACTAAAATAAAATTCAATAACAATATATTTTGAGATCTATATTTATTCAGTCAAAACCCATTGGCTTTTACTAGTAAACACAAGCTTGTCAACATTTTTCGCTTTTAGCGAAGCTCGGCGGTCGGAGACTATGCATCCAGCCCTGCTGAATGTCCTTTCCGACTCCGTCGAACACGCTGGAATGCAAAAATATTTTAATGCGCATTTTTTTAGAGATTCCATCTCAGTTGCGTGACTCTGGAAGAAAAGTAAATTGCAATTAGACTTTTTGAATTACCAATTGAAATCAGAATAGCAAACCTTCCAATAGTCTATTGGACTAATATTTGGCGATACATGAGGGTTTTCTAAGTACTGGCGTAAGGCAATGATGGCATCGGACCTTGGCGTTTTTACCTTACTTGCAAGTTTAGATTGCATAAAGGAAAAGAAGGCTACGCTCTCAGTGTGTGTTGATGGTTCGGATTGATCGAGGGTGGGTACTAAAGTTTTGGCCATTCCTGCAAGTTCATTTTTTATAGCTTCTACTGCTTTTTTCACTCATCCAAAAAGATCGATTAAATCGATTAAAAGATTGAATTGTTTACAGCTCTACTGGATCGATTAAATTGATTAAAAGATTGAATTGTTTACAGCTCTAATGCACGGTGCTTATGGGCGCACTAGCCATAAGCACAGAGCATCTACAAAAACAAAAGTGCACTCAGTGTATAGGCGTTGAGCACCCCTGATTTACACCATTTTTTTTCATTTCGATGCACTGAAAAATAAAATTATAGTAACATTCACAAGGAGTTTCAAACAAATATCATTATAATAAAAAATACATTTTATTATAGCAATTGTAAATAGGCCCTATATTTTTCACAACAGTTTATTATTTTTTTGTATGCCAATAAATGCCTAACTTTTTACTTTAAAAATGTTCTGCAAAGAAGAAATTCATCGCTTCAAGTCGACCATTTTGGCCAAAAGAAAAGCAAGAATGAATTTCTTGCAGTGATAAGTTTTCGCCAATCCAACAATTAAATGCGTTCGGATTAGCACGTTTGAGGAGAATAGGGAAATCACGAAAAATTGTTTTTGTATTTGGGCTTTGCCTATGCTGGGAGGAACACACGTATATGAAATTTCGTTTCCCATATGAAAGAGCAATTCCAACAACAAAGGAGCACCGAGAGCAATGGGACTGGGCACCCCTGGATTAAATAAATCGGCAGCATGTGGAAATGGTTGCAAAAGGGCATCATTCTCTGAGAATTGTGGAAAAGCCGGCATTAATTGAGCTGGTATCTAACTGCCCAGGATACAAGCTACCGAACCCAAAAACGCTCTCAAATACTTTGCTGCCAAATATACATAGCTTGTTGATGAGTGGCATAAAATAAAAGGTATCGATGGCCTCAGCAGTATGTTTGGCGACAGAAAGTTGGACATCCAGGATAAATGAAAACTACCTAGCAGTAACTGTGCACTTCATCGACAAGAAGTCTGTCAACATAGCCTTGCATATGATTTTTTGCGAGGCTTTTGATCAGTATCACACAAAAAAAAATGTATGTGAATACTTAAAGAAAATTGCTTCCCAGTGGCAAATTAAAAATAAAATAGCTTCTATGGTATTAGAGTCTAATAATTAGACAATGCTGCAAATATTAATGGAGCAGTTAAGATGGGAGATTGGCGCCACATTTCGTGCTTTGCGCACACTCTGAATTTGATTGTTCAGAAAGGGTTGGCCGAAATAGACCAAATCAAAGGAGATCGTAGAATTTTTTACCCGCAGCTCAATTGGGATCAAAAAACTTAAGGCAACACAAGCTCACATGACTCTATGAATCTACCAGAGCTTAAGTTGAAACAGGATGTGCCAACGCGTTGGAACTCCACATATCAAATGCTGAAAAGGCTAGTAAGGCTTATAGAAGCTGTTATGGTTGCAGTTTTAATTTTACGCCCAGAATCGGCTTTGTCTCAGACACAATGGAAAATAATTGAAGAGGTTTTGCCCATTCTTCGTTCATTTTATGAAATAACAAAAGAAATTTCTGGCGAAACGAGCGTTACTCTGAAATAGAATATATATGAATAGAATATATATGTAG